GCTTTGATAATATTGGTAGCACATATAAAATAGCACTTTATTTTGTTGTCTGAGTTTTAATTTATACAAAGGTGTTTGTGAAGCCACCTGCAAAATGCAAGGTACTGTCCTAAATACTGGAGTTGCAGTGATAAATCCCTTCTCTAAGTTTACAGCCCAGAGGGAAAAAAGATACTTAAATCACATTGCAACATAGTATGAGAAGTGATATAAAAAAGCAGGTGGTCTTATAGGAGTTAGGAGCTTCAGATACTTGTCTAAGGAAAATGACAATAATATGAAGTCATTCTAGAAAAAGTAACAAGCTGAAATCTAAAAATTAAAAATTAGCTAAGTGAAGAAGGTAGAGAAGATTGTTCTATGGTATGTTCTCCTTGCAAACATGGCCGAAGAGATAAGGGAGAACATGATATAGTAGTGTTCAAACAGAAGCATAGTAGCTAAGGATGGACAGAAACCAAATCACAGAGGTTTGTATTGGCCTATTAAGGAGCTTGAATTTTGTCATGAGCATAGTGTCAAGCCACTGAAGGGTTATAACATGGGGATTAGGTGCATTGTGTCAATCCAGCTGCTCTGTGAGGAGTGCACAGGAGAGAAGAAAAGCTAGTAATAAACAGACTGGTTAGAACAAGCAGAAGAAGGAGATGATGGTTCTGCCCTAAGGTACTGTCCCAAATGATAGAGAAGTAGTATCAGCCGGGCACAATGACACACACCTGTAATCCCAACAGCTTGGGAGGCTGAAGCAGAAGGAACACAAGTTCAAGTCCAGCCTCAGGAACTTAACAAGGCCCTAAACAAATTAGTGAGACCCTGTCTCAAAAAAACAAAATGTGGTTAAGCAGTCCTGGGTTCAATTCCTGGAACCCAAAAAAAGAGAAAAGTAGCCTCACCTGTTTTCAGATTGATGAATGTGGAGGAGAAAGGCATAGGTGGCCAAGATAAATCCCGTGTTTCTAGCTTGGGGAAGGTGAGGGGTGTGCTGCTCTTCCCTATGAAATAGGTTGGTGAGGGGAAGCAGCTTGCTGAGAAGGGTTTTGTCTGTTATGTATATGCATCATAAATACCACAGTCAGTAGAAGTGTTTTGTGGGCCTTTGAATATGGCCCAACTCGCCAGCAAACTGTGCCAACAAAGTAGAACTGTCAACACAGAGATGGCTAAGACTGCCCCCCACAGCCTGCAGCATGGAGAGAGGGGCTTAGTACTGGCCACAGAGGTAGGAGTCCCCAGCGAGCAAAGGAGTTTTCAGGTGCAAAAGAGGCTTCATTAGTGTCAGGTCAAAGGTAAGCTGTGAGTTAGACAA